CGAGCTCTAGCTCATCAATTTTTATTTTAAATTTTTTTAAATAGAGAAAAGTATAAATAATGTAATGAAAACACTTTTTAAAAAAATAAAAAATGTTAAAAAAATACAAATACTTTAATGAAGATAATTTTTTCTTTTTTTATTTCTATAATATTGTAATATTTTTTATAAAGTATAAAATATTTATGTAATGGAGACGAATTATTTTTTGAAATACATTTTTTTCGATTTCTTTTTAAAGTAGATAAAATGTAAACCCTCCTCATTTATCCGAGTTTGGAACCGGACACATCAATTTTAAGTAGGCGGAGTTAAAAACTGTACACGAACAACTTGTTGTAATGTGTACAATTTTTTAAAGAAAATTTTGATTAATATAATTAAATCAAATATCACTTACCTGACGACATGCAATTTCAACGTATTTATCTTGTAGTTGAAAATGAGCGTCATATCATTCCTTCACGCACATTAACGCTTCTAAAATATCTTCTTTTAGTCGGCTCCTGATATCGGTCAAAACCCTTTTACCTGCACTAAAAACAGATTCCGAAGCAATAGTGCTAATCGGAGGTGTCGGCAGATCTTTTACAATTACAGAAACAATTTTCCAACGTCTTTCATACTTTTACCAGAATTCATTTACATCTTCTGAACTTTTTTTAATTGTTCTGTCTGTTGGCATATTATAATTGAAGTAATTAATTAATTCGATAAGCATCGCATTTTTAGTTGCGGTAGATGTTTGATGAGATGTAAATATAGACGACATGACATTAGATGAATACATTACAGTTGCATCATATCTAAATGTATTAATGCTTTGAAATAAATTCATTATTTCGGCATTATCTTTTTCAATTTCAGCTGAAGGAATAGGTGCAGAGAGCACCCGACAAACATTCGCACACATTCTTTTCACATATAAATCACACATTCCACATAATGTTTTCTCTAAATTCTTATAAGTGATAGGTGTATCAAATATTAAGGATTTATTGATTTGATCAATTACATATTTAGTTCCCGAAATATTATATCGGGGATCCATTGCGCATGCTAAAGGAAATAACATAGGCAGTTCTTCCCAATATTTTTTAAACTTTAATTCCATGTCAATTATAATTTCACTAAAAGCAGGATTATTTTTATATTTATGGAATGTTCTTACAATTATATAAAAGCGTTCAAGCACCATACAGCTTGTGGGATAATAAATGCTGGATAAAATTTTTGTGGTCTCATAAAAAAATGTCAGAAATCGTTTTAACTTTCAAAGCTAAAACCCAATCGAATTCATTCAACATACTATCGTCATTACTTCTAACGTGTCTATTGTTATAAAAGTCAATTATCAAATGTTCGAAACATTCACATGACTTTAATAGCAAGTAGAGTTTCATCTATGGCCTACGTCGCTAACAAATATTTTAGCAATCGTCACCCCTAGATCGGTACAAAAATCTTCAAATGCTTGTTTTCTATTAGGATAGATCGTAATATATACTAATGTAGTGCTAATCCTTTGAAATTCATCATTTTTATGTTTTAACTCATCTTGCACAATTAAATTCAAGATATGACACATACAACGAATATGAAATAAATACCCACCAAAATCAGGTTGAAGTGTTCTACACAATTTATCGACGACTACCTTATTAACATTAGCATTATCAAAAGTAAAAGTAAAAGATCGAATTTTAGTCTCGCAATTATATTCTTTAACAATAGTGATAATAGCATTATATATATTATTAGTATTGTGAGGAAATTCAATAATTCTAAAAACAATAATTTTTTTATTCATGCACCAAAGTAGGTCTATATAGTGTATGTTGCAACTATATATGCTCTTTTATTAACCCATTCTCATAGATCAGAGGTTTAAGATATAACACTCCTATATTGTTGTAAATCCATAATTAATTGTTGTTTTGAATTATTGAAATATTGTATTGTATCAGCACGAAAATTGTTTCGACTTACCCCAACGTAACTTGATTGCAGATATTCTTTCACGAACGAGACGAAGTGTTGGTTGTCTGCAATAGCCAAAGCCAACTCAGTGGTGGTAACAAATTTCACCATTTCAGTTCGAGTATTGTCCTTCAAATACATCCACGTGAATAGGGGTGAAGTCATAGAACCGGCGCCTAGACTACCAAATTGCAATTGTTTTGACCAGTTGGAAGAAGTCCATGTCTGGCCGTACATGATTTGTAGTGGCGATTGAGATGAGTTGTAACGACCCAAATTTTTTATTGGATTTTATTATTTTTTTTATTTTTTTTATTTTAGTCGCTACCAACTTTATTATAAAAGGATCAAATTTATTGGAAACCACATGATTAATAAATTTTAAATTATCATCTTAAAATGAAATGACATTTGACCGTATTTAACATTTTTTATACTATCATGATTAGTGAATATGGGTTATGAATATTTTTATCATAAAATCCAATTCAAAATACAAATGAATAATACAACTCCACTACATAAAGTTAATTGTGGTAGGCAAACAATTGAAAATTTGGTGTGAAGTACAGAATCATTGTTTTGGCCATGCATGTTATAAATATTGAAAAGGCTGTAGATGCCTTAGAAAAATGCAAAAGTCTTTGACGTGAACTTGACAGTTAATCAATTTTCTTTTAACCATTAAAATCGATAAAAGCAGTAATATATAGTTCGAGCTCTATTTAAAATGAATTAAACAACAAAACATCCATGTAACAAATAAACATAAATGATAACTTAATCTTTAAAATAGGATGTCTATGGCAATGAACTAAAATTACTTGTTAAAATTATAAATTCTTGTCCAGCAAATGAGGCACAACCACGCATCGAACCACCACGCTCCAACAGGACCCGATCTAACCTGTGAGGTGTATGAAAAGGGTGAGTACATGGGAATACTCAATAGGATATTACATTAATGGTGCGATCCCGAAAAATAATTTTAACACAAGTGTCAGAATACCATACCATCGCATAACTTTAAATCCGGTAAGAGCTCACATCATATCATTTCATTTCATTGTACCGGAATGGCCATATCATTCATATCATAGCATTAATATCATAACTTTAACTTTCATAAATATGAAATTCGTCCACATGTAGCCAAAATAATTAAACGGGAAATTAAAAAAATACTGCACCTCATATCCTACCTTGTTAAACTGCTTAAATTTTGGAAGTCAAAACAAGGTTCACGCTCCAACAATTTCTTGAAATAAGAAAACCCAAAATCACGTTGCAACTATCTTTTCTTTTCTTTCTGCCTTATCGTGCAATAATATTACAGTGAAGTGAATGAAAGCTATTGTTTTCATATGATATAATAAAAATATCTATATAAAAAAAATGAGGAAACGTGTGGGAGTGGGGAAAGAGATATGGATCAAAATAGTTGAAACAGAAACTTGACCCAAATCTTGCCAACTGCCCACAATTTAAAAAAGTAATTTATATCTTACACGTGGCAGTGCACCATATATATACAAGGGAATTTGTTTTAACCATTAGGAACGTGGCTTCCCATAATTCTCTCTCTCTCTCCTTTATTTCATTTAATAAACAAATCAATTATCACTTACCTACCACCTACTTAGAATCCTAGTACTTCACGTGAGACCTCCCAATGCAAAACACAATTAATAAAATATTATTATTAATAATAAAACAATAAAATATCTCAACAACTTTCATCTCTCTCTCCACGTAAATTCTTCCAAACAAAAGTAATAAAAATAATATTTTAATGTTATATCTTCCGGCTTCGATAACTTAGGCTCGACTAACCCAAATTAATTTTTTCTCGAATCTAAAATGCGTCTTTAATTATTATCTATCTAACGAGCCCAATATTCGTATACTTATCATCGTCCCGTCAATATTTATATTTTAATCTAAATATTATTAAAGTTTACTTTATATACACTTTAGTCCCTAAACTTTCAAAACATTAAAAATATAACATAAATAAAATTAAATTATATTCTATAAAATTTCGGGATATTATATGAGTGGTATCAATTCCTTTTTGTCATGTCGATCTTTGTTGGTAGTATTTACATACTGCCTTAAATTCTGCAAGGTCAGCGACGACTTTTTCCGTTGAAATCAACTTAAAGTGATCTCAACATTTTGCTTATTTTTTGCCCTTCCGCTTTCCCCTTGCTTCTAGAATGTTTAATTTGACATCTTCGTCTTCATGTTCCGCTTCGGGAACCTTAGTATCATCCAAATCAATTGGATTGTAGCTTTCATGACCGTGAATGTGACATATTCAAGTATGAGTACGTCATTTAGACCGGTAAATTCATTTGGAAATTGACTTGCGGCGTCCTAGGCGATTCGCCATGTGAACCACATTCCGTATCTAATAAGCTCTCAACAAATGAGCGTTGATCCGTTTGTTTGATTATTTATGATGAAATCCAAATATAATAAATAAAAAAATATAAATGTAGTGAGAATTGAGAATTTGATGAATTGAAATTGTAACTAAATAAATTGTAAAAAATTAATCGATATTGTATATTTTGTAGTATAAAAGAGTAAAAAGTCGATAATTGATATAATAAAATATAGTTGAGAAATGAGAAGTAGTGATTGAGAAGATAATTGATATGAAAAAAAAAGAGGAGTTAAGAGAGTATTTATAATGGAAGGAAAAAAAAATAAAAATAAAAATATTTCAATGACCAAACGGTAATTGAAAAAGTGATCAAAACGGTCACTTTTTTTTAAAAAAGTGACCGTTTGGCTCGCAGCTCATTTCAACGAGCCCCCACTAGGCCCGCTCTGCTCGTGCTTGAGCTTGTAATTTTATGAGCCCAGACAACCCACGAACCTTATTTCGACGAGTCGATGATGCCCTTTTGACATCCCTAATTATGGAGGCTGCTCTATGCTTCGTAACGTGTCCTAAAATTTAATGTTATCTTCTATATAAAGTAGTCGCTTGGCCTCCCTTTTATGGCACTCATGTCCCTCAACTTTTAAAATTATGGCACTTAGGTTCAGAACCTTACGTAATCGCTGACGCAGAGCCTGACCCAGCTGGTTTTCCTCTGTGGACGTCGTGGGATCTTCAACTCACTGGAAAAAGAGCGGTTTGATATGAAAAGCGGTAGAAAGTTAGCAATGGCTGAACAATTTGAAATGCCGCGAGTGAAACTTGGAACCCAAGGACTAGAGGTATGTATTCTTCTTTTCTTAATTCATTCAGCTTCAGATTCGATTCAATTTGTAAACCCATTTGAAGTTTTTTTTTTTTTTTCCCCTCAACCGAATGCATCAAGAGATCTATTTGATTCAATTGGTAACCTTTTTGGTTGATGATTTAGCAATCTCTGTACATTTGCAATTATTTTTGTAGGTATCTATTACATTTTCTCTTGATGCTATCTATAACGTAAGTGTATAACACTGTCAATTTAATTATTAATTCATGAAATTTGTGTTCAATAAGAGGGCAAAAAAAATCTGGTTAAAATCGTTATTCGTCCATCTAAAAATTACATGTAGAGTGCTAAAACTTAAGTAAAAGTTATACTTGACTTTGAAGAAATTTCAAGATGAAACACTTGCAGTTGTTTCCTTAAAGATGGAACAGTCATTCATTAGTTTCTTCCGATAATGTATTCTTGAATCTAATTCTTCTTCCAGTGATATAGCATTTTTTCCTTGCAGGTATCAAAGTTAGGTTATGGTTGTATGGGGCTTTCAGGTAACTACAATAATCCAGTTCCTGATGAGGAAGGAATTGCGGTAATTAAAGAGGCATTTAGTAAAGGCATTACGTTTTTTGACACTTCTAATCTCTATGGTGTGAACTATGCCAACGAATACTTGGTGGGAAAGGTAATTTCTCAGATACCTTACATTATGGCAGCACACTATCTGCTGCCAAGCTACTTTTTTCCTTTTTAGTCGTTATAAGATGATGGGAATAGCTGATTAATATTCATCCCCTGAAATTGTGAGGTTTCTTTTGCCAAAACACATACAATCTTTATATTTGTACTATCAACAACTAATTTTATAGTTGTTTTATTTGCTGCCACATTACTTTTTTGAGTTATTGGTGTCGGACTTGTGCATTAAAGTCCTGGAAAGTTGCTTTAGCCCATAAGCTGTGACCCATGAGGCCAACTGCACGAGTTGTATCCTGGGCTTGTTGCAAAGGCTGAGGCATAATACATTTTAGCATGTCTGCACTTATGTAAGGATGGTATCACTCAGATAATTTGATGTTAAGGAAACTACACTTTAGAGGCTGGTATTTATGGCCAACTTTGGGTTTGATTTGTTTGAACAGGTTTGTGAATATTGGTTTTGTTCTTCCATTTGCTTATTTAACCCAGCGACTACAATGACAATAAGAGAATAAATTTAAGGATAAAAAAATTATGGACGGACATCTTTCTTGAATATCCACCTGCTTAAAACTTCGTGCTCAATTATGTAAATTATTATCCAACTTTGAATTTGATAAAAATTTCCTACAGAATTCTAGAAGTATGATTGATAAAAGTGCAGCTTTTGTATCTGTAGGATCTACAAAAATTTACGTAGGAATACAATATTAAAAAGTTTTAATCTATGAAGAAGCGATTCGTTGGAAGGGTGATATAAATTGGTCTTTGGATTATTCTCGAAGTCATTTTTAACTCCTGCTTTGCTGTAATGGACCAATAGATGACAAATAGATGACTATTGATTCAAAAACCATTAAGTGTAACATATGAACATTTTGTTGGTCATCTTTGAGTGTTCTTACTGAAGATATTCCAATGTTGCAGGCACTAAAGCAGTTACCTCGAGAAAAGATTGAGTTAGCTACAAAATTTGGAGTAGCCGGAATTACACCGACTGAGGTTATAGTAAAAGGTTCACCGGAATATGCCCGTTCTTGCTGTGAAGATAGTCTGAAGCGTCTTGATGTGGATTATATTGATCTCTACTACATACATCGAATTGATAAGACTGTGCCTATTGAAGCGACAGGGGGGTTTTTTTTTTTTTTTTTTTTTTTTTTTGTCGTATACAATTATTTTGATTAATGACCATGAATCTCATTTTCTCTTGTATTTGTTTTTCTTATCATGCTTTCGAATTTACTCACATATTACCTCATGTTATGAACATTTTTAATTTTTTTTAATTTTTGTGTGTGTGTGTGTGTGTCGCAGATGGGAGAACTTAAAAAACTTGTCAACGAGGGTAAAATAAGATATATTGGATTATCAGAAGCTAGCCCAGACACAATAAGGAGGGCTCATGCGGTTCATCCCATTAGTGCTCTACAAATAGAATATTCCCTTTGGACTCGTGACATTGAAGAAGATATAATTCCAGTTTGCAGGTTTTCCTTAATTCTCAAATATGTCTATTATAGTTTCATTTTCAGTAAATAGTTTGACAAATTGCAATTTAATTGGGAACTTAAAAGCAGATGCTTGAATTTGAAATTGGCTTTTTCAGAACATAGAGTTAGTAATTGATGTCATTTTCCTTCTAGGATTAACATTGCAATGTTTGGCTCTTATTTTCTATTTTAATAGTTCACGTTTGTGTACTTTTCTTCTTGATATGAACTTGTCTTTATCATAGCGTTAAACTACCGAACACTTGGTATTTTGAACATTTGCATAAAAGAAGTATTTTTCCTTCTTTCAGTCTATGTTGCAATTTCCCAATTCATCTTCTATTTTTCCCCGGTCCATCTTCTATCCACTATTATGTTTCAGGCATATATAATTTTTCTTACTGTTATCCTCCCTTCAGTAGTTGTGTTCTCATATAGGATTTATTTTCTTTTTCTTCTTGGAATGGATGATTAGGGAACTTGGAATTGGAATAGTTCCATATAGTCCAATAGGCAGAGGGTTTTTTGCTGGGAAGGCCATAGTGGAAAAGGTGCATCCAAATAGTGCATTGGTATGTTTGCATCTATGTCTATTAATTTTCGTTGTGTAATTTCTTCTTTTATAACCAAAATGATTTAGTAGTTTCTTCGATTCAGTAATGTGTATTTGCTGAACATTGCCTAATTTTCTTACCATCAGGAAAATCACCCAAGGTTTACTGGAGAGAATTTCGATAAGAACAAGGCCATTTATTTTCGTATAGAGAAGTTAGCTAAGAAACATGGATGCACTCCTGCTCAACTTGCTATTTCATGGGTTCTTCATCAAGGAGATGATGTTGTACCTATTCCGGGTAAGCCCATTAATAAGCCCTAGTCTTTAAAAAAATCATATTTCTTCGAACTCATTTTTCACAGTATATGTAAACTCAAAATTTTCCTTACTTTTTAATTGCATATTCTTATATATATATATATATATATTATAATTGAAAAATACGGATGATGACAGAAATATATATTGTAATAATAATCTCATGAATTTGTTTTGATTTTAGCAATCGTATGTCAATCAATCTTGTAATATTTGTAGGTACGACCAAAATAAAAAATCTCCATGAAAATATTGGCTCCGTGAAAGTGAAACTTACCAAAGATGATTTGAAAGAGATTTCTGATGCAGTACCTGTCAATGAAGTGGCAGGGATAAAAACTCCCACAGAGGCTCTTGAAAGTTTCACGTGGAGATATGCCAATACCCCACTCCCAAAATGAACACAGAAAAATGGATAAATGCTTATATCTTATGTTTTGGAAGAAGAGAGATTCGAATTCTAGTTCCATTTGCAACTTCTTCGACTTCATGTTACCATTTCTCGAGTCAACGATGTAAGCAGTGTTTTTCTTGAGTATGTGATTTTATACAAGGTACTACGAATAAAGCGTGCTGTCGAGTGCTATCTATTAGTAGAGTCATTGAATATTGTACTATTTCTTCCAGCTTTGTAATGTTCTTCTCTTAATAGGTTTAATATCAACTAGGTTTCGGGTAATTTGAACATGCATTCTTCGTAATTAAGGAAGCGAAACTACCGGACAATCTTCAATTTTCACCTTATTTTATTTGATTAATGTTGGAGTAAAAGATCGTATCATGTTTGCTGGCAGCTTCAGTTCTCCCCTGGTGCATAATAAGATACCATTAGGGCTGCTTCACTCGATCAGCATTAGTCTCCGTTTGTTATCATTTACTTTACATTCTTTTTTATTATTTTTTCAACAGTATTCATTTTTAACTACACATTCTTCATTAAAATAATATTATACGCAAATAAAAAAAAATTCATTCTTTTTTAACTATACATTCTTCATCAATCATTATTTTATAATACATTTCTTCAAATTGATGGGGCTCAAGTAGGGCCTTAGCAAGATATAAAATTGCTATTCCAATCTTTTGCCAAGTGCTCCGACACATTACCTCTTAATTAGTTCAAGACTTCTTGGATAAGATGTGGCAATGATCAAATCGACATGTGGGCCGACGACTAAAGGCAAGGCTCTACCCGGTCCATAGACCTTAAAGAAAAAGAAAAAGCAAAAATTTGAGATTTAAGTTAATGGTATAATATTTTTGAAAAGTTAATGAATCAAATCAAGCCCTCAATAATCGATGCTTTTTGTCGGTAGGAGTCGGTCAAAATTGTCCCCGCTCGGCGCAAGACAATAGTGACGAGGACGGAGCCAGCACCAAGGCGACCATCTGTGTTGGCTCTATCGAGAAAAAAATATTGAGCAACTGCACGCGCTTGCGTAACATAGGCGAGCATTTGAAGAATATTTTACATTTTAGTGTATTTATATACTGATTGAAGAATTTTTAAATATTTACCCTAGCTCTCTCGAATTCTTGGATTTACCCTTGTATGAACGACTATAGTTATTGTCAGGATGAAGTTAGGAAATTTAATGGAGAAGATATTTAATAAAGGTTAATAATAATAATAATAATAACAACGTGACAACACAATCATACTAAAAATGACATACATTACAATTGTTCTCATCTTGGCGATCTCCTTGATAATCCCTTGCAGTCTGTAGTTCTTATATATACTAAAATTTGATCACAGAATGTGCTATATGTTCAAGGTCCAGATGGCCCTTGACAAGTATCTCTATCTTTGATCACTGACTACTATAAATTAGAATGAGAGATCTTCTTTTACTTGAGTGGTTACGTACATGATTTGCTTACGGATGGAAAACCTTTTGAATTTTGATAGTATGTTTTTGTCTGCTACTGACCTTGTCCTCATGGTTCGATGAGGTAAAACAAACCTTTCTAAGACTCGATTTGTGAAGTTATATTAGTTGTACAGATAAATCGAATTGCATGTCACCTCAACATTTATTTATGTCAAAAAACTATTCCAGGTAGCAGGGTTTCATTTTGTATATTCATTGCTCTGCCATTCGACTTTTATCGTTTTTCGCCCAAGCTAATAGGACTTTGAATGCATAGATAAGGCCGAAGGAACATGTGGGATTGCAACTTGCTCACATGTTCAAACTTGTGTGAATAAATGTTGAAAGCGGTGAGGCGGTGTTCGGTTCTTCAAACAGATAAATACTAAGAGTCTGTTTGAGAGTAATTTTTCTCACCAAAAAATTAGGTAGTCGTTGATTTGCATTTTCATTTTCAATAGTTTTCCCCGAAAACGATCCGTTTTCCGCGTCTTGAGCATTTATAACTAAAAACGCTAAAAATGATAAAAAGTCGTTTTGCGTTTTCAGTTATAAATTTTAACTCATTTTCAAAAATACGTTTTCAAAAACGACGGACCAAACGCGTTTTTCGCATTTTCGAAAACGGAAAACAGAAAATGGGTCTAAAACGGCAAATCAATCACGGCCTTAATTTTTACCGTTATTTTACTATTCCAGACGTCATATTTGACTTTTTCTCTCAGATGTGGACCCAACTTTTCTTCTAACGGTCAAAAAATCAATTCTCAAAATTACTCACAAATAGGTTATAAGTGGCTTTTGCAACGTGTCACCCTTGGAAAATGACTATTTTTTTGTCAAAATTAGCGAAATGACAAATTTTTAAAGTTTTCAGGAAAAGTTCATTTTATCCGCTGGACAGCTTTCGGTGTCTTGGAAGATAATTCAATTATCATAATAGTTTCAACTGTCTTCCATCTGTTTATGTCCTCATTTGGTCTCCAATAAAATATTATTTCATTTTTCTCTCTTCTTCTAATCTACAATTTTTGTTTTAAAAAATGACATAATTGATATCTTGAATACAAAAGCGGTCGTTTTCTTAAATTCCTTAAAAGGTAACCATTTTTTTTCTCTCGCTAGAGAGGATGCCTACACCCAATCCCTACAGCATGACACGTACGTGTCATGATTGTGGGAAGCGGTGAAGTGGTGCTTGGATAAACATTGGAGATAGTAACCGACAGATTTAGAGAAGGGAAATTAGAGATATTTTCATGGCCATTAATCTCACAAAAGCACTTGGATTAAATTAATTAGAGTGCTTATCTAACCTTATATAACAAATTAGGGCGTAAACTGTTTTATTTGAACTGTTTGAAATATTTATTTAAATCAAACAAATTAAAATAATCGTGTACGAAACCAAACCAAATCAATAATAATTTGGATTTTGCCACTTGTAAATTAACTTTCACCATGTTATTGCGCAGGAAAATATGTTGACAAAAAATTATTGAATAAAAAGACGACTTTTTTTTTTTTAAACTGTCCAACAGCATTCGATCAAAAAAGCTATCAAATAGAATATACAACAAATGTGATTGTAATAAGAACCTTGTTACATGTACATTTTAGTTTACACTTTGTCACGTGTCATTATCTTATTTGACAGTTTAAATTTCAAACAATTTTTTCATCTAATTAACACTTGACAACAATGCAAGTGTCAATTAAAGTGTCAAAAATCAGTATACAAATAACAAAATTCTTGTAATAATCTCCAGTTGAATTCTGTTTCAAAGTGAGATATATAGATTTCCGAAAAAAATGGTACTGTTCGCCTGAAAATTTAACAGAATATTAAAAAATAATAAAATATCCTTAATTACAAAACAGTAATAGCTGATGGTTACTAATTAAAGCACAATATGCAAGGGAATGAGATGTAAGACATGACAAATAATAAGTGAAGTAAATTTTGCGTTAAATTGAGAGTTAAAATAATATTTTCATAAGTATTTTTCTGTCTTGTCCCCCATGAGACAAGTTACATGTTAGCCACCTAAAAAATAAAAAATTTCATGTTCGAAGCCCACAAGTTGTTGCAACACATTTTTGAAACGATGAAACCTTTATTTCACAAGGCATCTTTCATCACATCGTTCCAATTTAATGATCTTTTCTTCTGTATGTCTAATGACAATTGTGCAGCAAAAGCCTCTCAATCTACTTTTTAGGCTGCGAGCCTAGAGCATAAGGTGGCTATTTTTTAGTTAATTTAAAGTCACCTCTGATATTGGATAACCGGATGTGACGCCATGAGATTTGTCTTGTGAGTCATTAGGATGAGTCACATATCACACATCTAACAAGAATTACCTATTCGCTCTTGCTATAAAAGTTCGCACTTGGTATCATTCGAATGTGATGAAATTTCTACGAAGTAAAAAATTGTTTGACATTTTCTGTTCAACTGGAATCCAAATACTCATGTTCTTGTTCATTGTTCATCCTACCTCCCGTCAGTACTTTCTCGACGTTAATTAACTTGGACGTTGAAGTGCCCGTGATTGCCTTTCTTAATGGTGGAGAAGGTCACGTGCACCTAACTTTTGTTTGAGTTTGCATAAACTTGACATGTGGAGCAGGGGAGAGGGGGTATAGTCACCAGATCTTAGTTTTACACGTGCCAATTACTCATCATTCACGTCTACTGGATACAAGATCATTATATATATATATATATATATATATATATATATATATATATATATATATATATATATATATATATA